TTGTCCCGACTCGGTCACAGTGACTGACTTAGTGGCACTAGAGTTTACTGACCTTAAGGTACACAAAAAAAAAGCTTTGGTACGGAGCAGAGAAAAGACCCTACCCTTACCAGGGCCTAGGAAAATATAGTGATGATTAATGATGTACCTGTCGAACCAGGGGACAGTCAATGTTTTCCTTATTTCAACAGCAATGAAGGTTTATTGTATCGTGTATACAAAAAGAATGAATACATTGTTGAGCATTTGGTGGTCCCTAAGCCATACAGAAGGGTGGTGTTGGAACTTGTCCATGGGTACTTATTGGGAGGTCATTTGCGGGTGGAGAAAACCACTGAAAGGGTGGTGTGCAGATTTTACTGGCCCGGGGTACAGAAAGACATTGAGAATTTTTGTCAATCCTGTCCTGTGTGTCAAATCTCAGCACCCCTGCCCCACTTCTGAAGTCCTTAAGTGCTCTTACCCATAACTGAAGTGCCCTTTGAGAGGATTGCCATAGACCTTGTGGATCCACTGCCCGAGTTTGCCTGGGGCCATCAATATATCCTCATAATTTTGGATTATGCTACCTGTTACTCTGTATTCAGTTCCTTTGCACACTGCGTCTGCTAAAAACATAGCTAAAGAGTTGTTCATAGTGTTCAGTCATGTTAGGGTCCTTATGGAGGTCCTTACAAACCAGGGCACCCCATTCATGTCATGGGTAACCAGAGAAATGTGCAAATTGTTTAAGGTGACACAGTTGTGAACCTCTGTGTACCACCTGCCAACAGATGGCTTGGTGAAACGCTTTAATAAAATGTTAAATATTGTAAATAAAATGTTGATAAGGATGGGAAAAACTGGGACTTTTTTCTTCCATACTTAAATGTTTTCCATCAGGGAGTTTCCCCAGTCCTCTATGGGGTACTCTCCATTTGAGTTGCTCTATGAGAGACACCCTAGGGGACATTGCCAAGGAAATGTGGGAGGGTGAGCAAACACCCCACAAAAGTGTCATTGAGCATATTGCACAGATGCAGGACAGTATTGCAGCAATCATGCCTACGGTAAAAAAACTCCTACTTCAGGCCCATGCCGCCCAACAAAGAGTATATAACAGGGGGCCCGTCTCCGTGCTTTCTTACCTGGTGACAGGGTCCTGGTGTTAGTTCCCACAGTTGAAAGTAAGTTCCTGGCAAAGTGGCAGGGGCCCTTCAAAGTAATTGAAAGAGTCGGAAAGGTAAATTACAAGGTATATCAAATGGGTAAAAGAAGTCCCAAGCAGATATACCATATAAATCTGTTAAAACCCTGGAAATATAGACTGGTATATAGGGGCCGTCCCTATAACTCCTAGGGGTACTGAGTTCCCTCTGGTCCCTTAGGTCACTGTTCCCAACACCCTGTCTCCTTTCCAAAAACAGGAAGCTAGAGCCTTCCTGATAAGAAACAGGGAGAAATTTTCAGAATTGCCTGGTACAACTTCAGCTGTTCAGCATGATATTGTTACTGAATCAGGGGTCCGTATCAAACTAAAACCCTACAAAATTCCTGAAGCTAGGAGAGAGGACATCAGGGGATGAAGTCCAAAGGATGCTGGAGTTAGACATAATTGAGGAACTGGTCTAGTCTCATTGTATTGGTCCCAAAACCAGAGAGCACCTGGAGGTATTGTAATGACTTCAGGAAGCTGAATTTGGTGACAAAATTTGACACGTACCCAATGCCTAGGGTAGATGATCTGATAAACAGACTCGGTAAGGCCCGCTATCTGACCACGTTAGACTTGACTGAAGGATATTGGCAAATCCCCTGACTGATAGCGCCAAAAAAAAGACCGTATTTGTGACCCCGGAGGGTTCTTTTCAGTATAACGATGCCTTTTGGGTTGCAATATGCCCCTGTGACCTTTCAGAGAGCCATGGACAGAACCCTAAGACCTCACCAACAATATTCAGTCACCTATCTGGATGAAATAGCAGAAATGTTTAAAGGACTTGAAAGATCCCTAAAACAAGAACTGGCGAAATTACACAAAGATCTGGGGCAAATATTATCAAGGGTGGAGGAGACGGAAGAAAAAAACTAGATAATAATGCCCAAATTATACAGAAATTAGAAAAACAGGCGATGGAAATAAGAAAAGAACAAAGAAATCTATTATATAAATTGGAAGAACAGGAGAATAGGGATAGGAGATGCAATCTAAAGATATGAGGCTTTCCAGAGATCTCCCAAGGAGAAGATCTGATGGGAATGATAACGAGAATGCTGAATACTATAATGTATAGAACTATAGCAGAGCCTCTCAAAATGGAGGGAGTATATAGAATAGGAAAATACATACAAGAAGATAGAAAGAAAAAGCCAAGAGATGTAAAAGTGCAATTCCATGATATTCGGGATAAAGAAGAGCTTTGGAAGAAGATAAAAGGAAGAGCAATAAGAAAATATGGAGAAATAAATATACAGATCTTTGCTGATTTGTCAGTGGAAACATTAATAATAAGGAGAACTTTGAAAACCGTTACTAGAACAGATGAGAAAACAGAATGTTCGATACAGCTGGGGGTGTCCAGCGTGTTTGATTGGATGGAGAAATGGACGTTCAGCAAGACTGAGATTCCCCCCCCGAAGATCTGAGAGACTTTTGCGAGAGACTTGATATACAGAAAATAAATATCCCTGGTTGGAAGGAAGAAGGAGAAATGTGGGCTATGGAAAATGAGGGGAGGCAGGTAGTTCTAAGGAGAAATAGTGAGTAGGAATAGTAAAGAGGAATAAGATGGGAGGGAGGGGAGAGGGTTTCTCTCTCTTTTTTTTTTTTCTCTCCCTCTCCCTCCATTTCTGTCTCTCTCTTATGATCTTTGAAGTTTACTAGAGTATGGCAGGACACGGAGGATGAGATGAGACACGCTTATTGGGGAAAAGTTCATGGTCAGAGCCTCACCTTAAAAGTTGAATCAAAGGTGGGGTTAGGCCCACAAATGATTCATAGGCAAAATGTAAGCCTAAAGGGAGCTGGGGGGTGGGGGGGTTGGGTGGAGTGGAGGGAGAGGAGTGGGAGGGAGGGGGAGGGAGGGAGGGGGTGGTGGGAAGAACGGAGGGGGTGGGTGGGTGATCGGAGGGTATGGGGAGGAGATAGGTAGTTTAAGACTCTGCGAAATAGTGGGAGAAACATCAGCCTGGAGAAATCCTAGCGATCAAAGGGGAAGATGTGGAGGAAAGAGGAAGAGAGAAGAGATAGGGAAGATAGAGGTGTGGAGAGGAGAAGAATGGAAGAGATTCACTTTGTGACTTATAATGTTAAAGGGTTAAATAGCTCTGGGAAGAGATTTGGGATTTTTAAAGAAATTCAACATAGATTTTCTTCAGTGGTTTTTTTTTTCAGGAGACACATTTGGTGCAAGAATCAAATGTGAAATTTAATTCCAGATATTATCCAATGTGGTTTTATGCAGATTCCCCAATTAAATGTGCCAAGGGAGAGGCGAAAATTATAAAGTTTAAGCTGGAAGACAGATTAGTAGATCCGGAAGGGAGATTTCTGTTTCTGAAGGGAAAATTACAGGAAATAGACTGTACATTAGCAAATATTTATTGACCGAATAAGAAACCGAGGTATTCCTAAAAAATACTCTGAGGAAGTTAATGGATTTTAAAAAAGGCAATTGTGGTAGGTGATTTCAATCTCTGCATGGATCCCCAGATGGATATGATGTCCCCTGTGCAGAGAGATGGTAGTAGGTCTCTGAAATCCTTGAAAAAAATTATATACCAATGTCAACTTGTAGATATATGGAGAATTAAGCACATGAAGGACAGAGACTATACGTTTTATTCTCATGCACATGAGATGTATTCAAGACTGGAATATATATTGCTGGACCATCGACTTATCGAGTCTCTGGTCAAAGTAAAAAATAGAAATGATGTCAATATCGGACCATGCCCCTGTTACAATGCAATTATTACGGGGAAATTAGCAGATCAGGGTGAAATTATGGAGGTTAAATGAGACACTTATCCAGGATTCAGAGGTGGACCAAATAATAAAAAAAAGAAATAGAGCAATTTTTTGAGGAAAATTATTCTGGGGAAGTGTCCGTAGCAACAATGTGGGAGGCTCATAAGGCCTATATTAGAGGAATCCTGATAGCGATTGGAGTAAAAAAGCAGAGGAAAAGAAGAGAAAAAAAAAAAAACACGCTTCTTAGTGAACTCTGTGAGTTAGAGCAGTTAGAGCATAAACATTAAGTAACAAAAGAGATTATGCAGAGGGTAATAAATAAAAGAGAAGAATTAAATACATTTCTAGGAGAAAAGAGAAGAGTGTTCAATAAAATGATAAGTGAGAGATACAGATGGGGAGATAAGCCAGGAAAGTATTTAATGAGGGCTCAGAGAAAAAACAAATCTAGGAACTATATAGAGAAAATAAGATACCACAAAGGAGAATTAATGTATTCAACTAAAAATATAGGTAAAGTGTTTAAAGAATATTATAATAAGCTATATAATATTATCCCCCACAGCTCCAAAAGTAAAGATAAAGAAGGAAAAATAGAAAAAAGACAGACATACTTAAAAAAGGCAGGATTACCAAAATTAAGTGAGGAGCAATTAACCACTAGCCTACCTGACACTTGTACCCCCTTCCTGCCCAGGCCAATTCCCAGCTTTCAGCGCTGTTGCACTTTGAATGACAATTGTGTGGTCATGCAACACTGTACCCATATGAAATTTTTATCATTTTTTTTTGTGATAGAGCTTTCTTAAACAAACCACTTCCTTCACTGATGTGCGCTAATGAGGCTGCAGTGACGGGCACTGATAGACATTGATAGGTGGCACTGATGGGCACTGATGAGGAGGCACTGGTAGGTGGCACTGATGGGCATTGACAGGCATCACTGATGGGCACTGAAAGGCAGCACTGATACATGGCACTGATATATGGCACTGTTAGACGGCACTGACTGGCACTGTTAGGCGGCACTGATGCACACATAGGCGGCACTGATTGGCAGCACTGATAGGTGGCACTGATTGACATTGATAGGTGGCACTGACTGGCACTGATGGATGACACTGAAAGGCAGCTCAGATGGGCACTGATATGTGGCATTGATGTGCACTGGTATGCGGCATTGATGTGGCACTGATAGGCACTGGCACGTGGCACTGATAGGCACTGACAGCTGGCACTGATGGACTTTGACAGGTGGCACTGCTGCGGCTACACTGATCATCAGGGCACACTGATCATCAGTGCCCAGATGATCAGTGTACATGCCCCCTCTGCGGAAAGCCGATTACCTTCTCTCCTCTCCTCTCAAGCTGTCAGCGTGACAGCTCGAGAGGAGAGAAATGCCAATAACCGGCATTTCCGTGTTTTACATGTGATCAGCTGTGATTGGACACAGCTGATCACATGACCGAGCCGACATATTCGGCTCTTTTCCGTGATTGGTGATCCGCTCTGCCCTTTCTACAAGTTTCCATCCAGTGATTCCATCTTCTTCAGAAACAATCCCTACAGGACTTGCTGAACCCATTTCTTTATCAAGCTTCAATATTGAAGACTTCCTTCTTCCTGAATTTAAAATTGATTCCCAAGGGATTTTTGTACAGGATCTGAAATCAAGGAGGCCACTGAACTCCTAAACCTAGAAGAAGTAGAGAGTGCTGCTCCTCAGGAGGAGTTTAGAGACAGAAAAGAGATAAGAGCACCCAAAAGACTGATTTGTGATGTTCTAGGAGAAAGCTCTGAAGAAGCCTGTCACGTACCTGGATGATGAGCCTGACGTGAAGAGGCAGGCTTCCCGTACAACTCTGGCTCAAGGACTGCTGATTGTGAGACAGCAGTCGCAGGGGCACGGTGGGGTATGAGCAGTGGTGTATTTAGGTGTTGTGTTGCCCTAGGCAACACAAAAAAAAAAGATCGGCTCCCCCCCCATGGAGAGACCCTGGCACCAACCAACACCCCCCTTCCCCCACGAAGAGAGCCTGGCATTGACTAACAGCACCCAACCCCCCCCCCCCCACCTGAGATAGCTTTCCACTACCATTGCCCCTCATACACTGACAACCCCCCCACCCGTCAAGAGAGAAGACACTCACCTTCACAGCTCCGGACATCCCCGAGAACAATAGTAAGGCTCTGTATACACCATCAAGCAGCTCGCAGCCTCTCTCAAATCCCACGTGGTCCCCATGCTGTGTGTGTCACTTCTTTTAGGGGGTGGCACTGCCCCCCCTGAAAAATGCGTCTGCCCCCCTGAAACATGCCACCCTAGGCAACTGCCTTGTTTGCCTTGTGGTAAATACACCCCTGAGTATGAGTGCCTGAGATCAGTCCGGTAATAGCAGGTGAGCTGCTGAGTTCAGGCAAGGAGCAGGGTTCTGATGTAGCCATGCAGGATGGATGGATACTTGAGCACAGCATGCTGAGGATGCAGGGTCAGACGAGCCGGGTTCGGTATCGGTCAAGCAGATCAGGCTTACAGCGGCAGGAGGAAGAGTAGTCAGATCACAGGCCAGGTCAGCAATGGAAGATCAAACAGACAGGAGCAGAGACAGAAGAATAATCCAAGAGAAGCCAGAGGTCAGGGCAGGAAGCAATCAAGCGGAGATCAGGAACAGGCTGGTTGGGGTATCAGGAGTCAATCACAGGAATCAGGGAACACGAGCAAGGAAAAGACCATACGGCAATGGGACAACTACTGCAGCCAGTTTAAATAGCCCTTTTGGTGCCAGCATTAGTGACAGGCGCGCGCCCACATGTGCGAGTGCACACCGATGTCCAAGTAACTGCACATCTGTTTGACTGGTAAGGACTCTGTGCATGTGCCTATTTGTTCGAACTTTACCTGCACTATGGGCAGGCCTTCCCTGACAAAGCCTTCCATGGCAGCCAAAGAATCTTAGAGACTCCTGTATACAGCTTGTGGTGGTAACATATTTTGGAACCCAAAATTGCTCCTTTGTCAAACCATAGGTGTTGGAGTGTCTTTCTAGGCTTTATAGTTTTAGCCTCTTGTGAGTGCATATTGGTGGAGGATCTGCACTGAAGGTTTGTCATGCTTGATTTGTGGTATTGTGGAGCACTTACAGTGGAGACTTCTGACTGGTGGTTGTCTCCTCATCTGTCTGGACTATATATGAACTGTTCTATACAACTGCACAGGCACTTTTGGTTCACCTTAAGTGGTGAATAATTATTTATGATTATTTTTAATTTTTAATGTGGGGGATTATTTTATATATTTATGCAATATATACATACTTTTTTGTTGTATAATTATTATTTATGTACACAAAGGTTCTTTTTCTGATGCACTTTATTACAAGTGCTGCACAATTTTCATTGCAATGAAAAAGAAAACACTAATTGGGGTTACTACGGCATGTATTATTGGGAGGCTATAGTCTTAATTTAAAGTGTAAATATAGCCCCAACTTTTCTTTGCCTAAAATAGGGGATGTATGAAGCCCTTAAAAGCCAATTTTTTTTGCAGTCTGTGTCCTACTGACTTTATGAAACACCAGTATGGTATCAGTATCAGTGTTCCAGAGTGAGCTGCATATACAGTATGTTTGAGTCTATATGGGTAAACCTGTTTTTTTAAATGATTCTTGGAACAAATTGTGAATGCTAATATGTGTTTCTTTTTCTTATACTACAGGTATGTGGATGACAGATCCTTTTAAATAAAGTAAGCCACTGAGAATAGCAGCATTTTCTTAAACCTTTACTTATGTACAATGAGCCATATAGGCTTTTTAGTTTTGACTTCTCAAACATTTTTAATTAACATGCTGACTAATAAAGGCATGTCCTTACCTTGAAGTGTGGAAAACGTGCTCAGTAAAAGGATTTGTGTTTTTTTTCAACCCTTTTATTTTAAACTAACACATTCTAGTACATAGACAATGCATAGGTAAATATGGATATATTGACAACACAGGGACAACAAACAAGCAATCTGGATAATATGCATACAACAAACAGCTAATCCTGACCAAACGAAGTAGCTATTGTAACAATAGACAGGCAACAGATTGGCAATTGTTTCAATATGTGGATCATAAAGGGAATTTTTTTACAATACACGCACAAGGAACAGTCAGTCTTTACAATATCTGATCAACACATAGGCAATTTGTTACAATGCATGGGAAGCAAATGGGCAAATGTCACAATTCATAGTAAACAAATGCTCATTCATAACAATTAATTATTAATAAATGTGCAATTGTGAGAATATACTAGACAAAAATTGGACAAATCATGGCAAAATAGAGGCAACAAAAGGCCAATCATGTCAATAAATAGGCACCAAATGAGCATCATTACAATATTTATTTATTTCGGGTACTTATATAGCGCCGTCAATTTACACAGCGCTTTACATATATATTGTACATTCACATCAGTCCCTAACCCTCAAGGGGCATACAATCTAAGGTCCCTAACTCACATTCATATACAAGGGCCAATTTAGACAGGATCCAATTAACCTACCAGCATGTTTTTGGAGTGTAGGAGGAAACCGGAGTACCTGGAAGAAACCCACGCAGGCACAGGGAGAACATGCAAACTCCAGGCAGGAGGTGATGTGGCTGGGATATGAACCAATGACCCTAGTACTGCCAGGTGGAAGTGCTAACCATTTAGCCACTGTGCTGCCCAGGAAATACATGGGTAATAGTGCCTATACTGTATACATGCAAGAAAGTGGCAATTCTAGCAATAAGTGAGCAACAAACAGGTCATTACAAAACTGGGACACAAAAATAGGCAGTTGTTATGACGTGCAGGTAAATAATTGATAAACATTACAATACAAGGGCAACAATGGTCACTTTTTATTGTGTTCATTACAATTACTAATGTCCTGTTCAGGGGCGGACTGACAACTCATGGAGCCCCCGGGCAATAGGGGATCATGGGGCCCCTGTGTCCTCACCCACCCAAAAAAAGCCTATGAAAAAGCCAATGAAAGGTACCAGGGGCATCTCATGGGGCCCCCTACTGATCCAGGGCCCTCGGTCAGTGCCCGAGTGCTCGAATGGTCAGTCCGCCCCTGGTCCTGTTCCCAGTTAATGAAAGGCTATTTTGTGCCACATCTTCCCTAACCCTCAAAAACCATTTAAAGTCTATTGCACTCCTAAATCAAATCTATATCTCCCTAAAATGATATACAGTATGGCAGGTTACAACTGCTTAGTAATTTACCTACATTATATTTACCTTTCCAGATTTACTTTTCTTCCCTTTATTTCCACCTGATAAACCTGTAAATAACACACTTCCTGTCCTTGGGTGGCTCCTTCATTGTATCTATGGAGGAAGCCATGGTTACAAGCCAAGCTAGACTTCAGACATTAAAATTGTATTGTATCCCTTGCACTCCATACAGGCTCACCCACAGTTTGTGCAGGGTGATCTATTGAATTGGTGGATGGAGTCACTATTCATTGGAAAATAAGGATGTTCCCCAACACACCTTGGTATAGTGATAATAATGTCCTTTAATCACATAAAGCAACAGGCATCATGGGCTTGTGATGCATGTTGCTATATGTACACAAAGGACAAGTTTTTCACTATACCAGTGTGTGCTGACCACATTTTTATTTTCCTCTGGATTTAGAACATGCCTGTTAACGGAAGCTATCAAACAAGGGGCTGATGGGATTAGTAGCTTAAACAAGAAAAATACAATTTTTTTTTTTCCAGTTTATATCATGGAAAGGAGTTTTGGCAAGATCAACAAGTATTTGTAAAAAATGAAAATTAATGTAGTCCCCATATCTAAGACTGAAAAGCCCATCAGAGGAAGCAGAAGTGCAAAAGACATGTGGAAAACCCCATTTGTAAGCTGCTGGAAAAACAGAAAAGGGAAAGGAAAGAAAGGAAGAGGGAAACAAAGGGGAAAGGAGAGAGCAGTAGAACAGAGGAAGAGGTCCTCTACCTCCAGGGGGCCTGGGTCAAACCCAGCTTGTCTAACCAAGGCCAGAAGGAATTAGGGCTCCAACAATGAAGAGTTGACGCCAAGTGGGAGAAATTGATCCACCAAAGGCTGTCAGACTTTGAGATGTTTAAGAATCCTATCCAGGATTGTGGTTTCAATTTTACTTGTGTGACTGTTCTGTCTTTAAAATACAGAGGGTTGTGGTCTTCCGGGCCTCAGCTATTGTTTGTTTAGAAGCAGCTATAAGCTGTATGGAAAGTTTGAATTGGGCTTCCGTTAAAGCAGGACAATGGTTAAGCAAAGAAGAAAGAAGAACTCTGGATAGGCAAAAAAATCACCCATTGGTATAGCTCCCTACACAAAACACTAAACAGTTAATAAAATTTTTGAAAATCCTTACCATTTAGGAGAACATTCTATTTGAATTTTCATGATCTCATCTCTGTAATTCAAAATATAAC